TAATACGTACAATTGACAGCTTTCGTTTTATAAGCGAAAAACCTGTTTTTTGCAACTATTCGAATTTTTTTCGCATATTTCCCACACGAGTTGCAAGTCTCAAACATATACATTCCTTTTCTAATGGCCTTCCGAACATTTTTGTCGAGAGAAATGCCTGTTTACAATTTTTCCGCGAAAAAACCCTAATTCTACTGGACTATTAAGTTTAAAGCATAAAACGAGACGCACAGATTATTGTATAAAACGCGTAACACATAGTGCATAAGAACACGTACCTCTTCCTCAAAGAGGAAGATCAACGTTTCTTCTTTTTCATAAAATAAACAACTTTGGTTAATTCAATTTTTTATGCCTTATATATCATGCATAATACAAAAGTCTGCCCCTCGCTTTATACTTTGAACTTACCTGCTTACAAAATGTCAGGTACCACATATGGATAAACACTCTTCGAATGTAATATATATAAAAAATTGTTAAATGGTTACCTGTGGAAAAGAATGTGAAATGGTTGTTTCTGTGTCACTTTTTACAAGTAATTTCCTGCAAATACACATGATAATGATGTAACGGCACATGCGCATACCAATACAATATAGCCTATACGAAGTTAGTCCCCCACTTTTCGAATTCATTTATTTTGCGAATTATGCTGAATTGTGGTAGGTTTGTGCTATATTGTGCTCGAATATTAATGCCAAACTACGAAAAATACACTACAAAATTTACAAATAATAACAATTACCGAATAATTGACAGAAAAGTAGGTCACCGAGAGACACTCGCGAATAAAGTGCTCTTAATATCGCTGCGCCTACGACACTGAGAGTTGTACTGACTTGTGCTAGGCTAGCACAACTCAGATATGCAATATCAATCACATCGAAGCGTTAGAAACCCAAATTTTGAACGAAAAATGCTTACGCAAGCGGTCGCGCTCAAGAGTAAAGTACCCTTAATATCGTTGTGCCAGCAAATCTAACGTTTGTACTGACTTGTGCTAGGCTAGCACAACTCAGATATGCAATATCAATCACATCGAAGCGTTAGAAACCCGAATTTTGAACGAAAAATGCTTACGTGAGCGGTCGCGCTCAAGAGTAAAGTACCCTTATGCCTAAATTCTAAGCAGAATCGTAAGACTCGTAACATATTCCTGTAAGACTTGTAAACATTTTTAAGTGCTTATACCATTATACAATATTTTTACAGACAACTTCTTACTAGCCATAAAATTTACAAAAAATCATAGATATTTATGAATAATCGTACACATCTTACAATATATACGCTTAAACTTAGAGAATAATAATCATAAGTTTTTACAAGTTTTACAAGAACACGTTACGATTCTTACGATTCTGCTTAGAATTGACCCATTAATATCTTTATGCCAACGAATCTAACGTTTGTGGTAACTTATGCTAGGCTAGCACAACTCAGATATGCAATTTGGTGGTATTTAACTAACGGATACCAATGTTAGCGTTATTTTTATTCATAATTATAAAAACTGGAAAAATCGCAAAGTGGGGGTTGTCCTAAAATACGGTTTTTTTGAATTTTTAACGTTTTTTTCGTAGTTTGTCATTAATATTTGAGCACAATGTAGCACACACCCACAATATAATATAGAATAAAAATCAAGGAAAAGATTCAGTACCAATTTCGCGACGCGAAA